ACAGAAGGAAGAATCAAGCAACCCTGTAGAATTATTTCTTGCCGCCTCCGTCTTCTTGTCGCCTACCTTGCCAATTCGATCTCCAATTCAGTGGGAGAAGTCAAGATTTGATCTTGATATTAGTTCTTTGTGAAAGAACTGATAGGAAGCTGTGCTCACGTGCCATCCTGCTATTTCTTGCGAAGGACTAGGTTCTTGGAGAAGAACTCTATTGATTCTGCTCCATCCTACACTGCGCCATCTCCATTGGGAGATATTACTTCTCCGTATCAGGTATAATTCTCTCCTACAGCTTTTGTTCAGATCTGGTTCAGTTTATGGTTCAAGATTGATCCTTGAAAATATGATTTTCTAAATAGGGAATTCGATTCCCAGTTGAAAGGGAGAGAAAAAATTTTTGAAATCCACCCACCTTATTCCACAAGATTTAGGTGTCCATACGATGGATCTCTCATCCTTTCACATTCCTCCAAACAGCAGCTAGACACTAGTCCAGATAGATAAGTTTTGTGCGTATAGACATTATCACATTAGTCCAACTGTCCAGGTACAGTGCAGTGGAACATTTTTGTGAGTGAGTGAGTGAGTGAGTGAGAGAGAGAATGATTATTGTGGAGTCAAAGGATGTGTATGAAGTAAATGAGATTGATTGTACAGTATAGGTCGGGATTATTGTAGAGTCAATGAAGTGGTTTTAACCAATGTTTTAAAAATCGATTCAGAAGTTGAACCGTTTTTGTCTCCAGGTCGCGGGCTGTCTCACGTCACATATATATATTAGTAATAAATGTTGTATAAATATATTATTTATTTATATAAAAATTAAAAATTGCAATTTGAGGCTAAAAGGGATTTTTTTTGCAACAATAACAGGGCAATAGTCTTTTGGTGAAAAAGACACCTCAATCAGACATCAGAATACAAAGTTATGGCCTTCGAAAGTTTGCATGCATTGAGTGTGCAACCCGGTCACCAGGTCAAATTGGCTGAGTAGAATGGTTTTTGACCATTTTGACAGGTCTTAACTGAACTGGACCCGGAATCCTGCCCAAGTGACAGTTTGAACAATTCGACTGGTGGGTTGAAAATATTGGTTTTAACTTCAATGCATAACCCTACAATCTTAAGTCCATCACACCAACACCCCTAACTGAAAAAAGTATGCTACTTTGTTGGATTCAATAATTTTTTGTTGGATTTTTTGATCATATTGGATAGTTTAGGTCACCCTATATACTTACATATATATATGTATATATATATATATATACATATATACATACACACACACACATACATACATACATACATACATACATACATACATACATACATACATACATACATACATACATACATACATACATACATACATACATACATACATACANATACATACATACATACATACATACATACATACATACATACATACATACATACATACATACATACATACATACATACATACATACATATAGTTATTTATAAACTAGTAAACATGTACGTGCATTTGCACGTGACAGTATCTCCAAGACAAAACTATTTACAATTCATGGGCAGTTTTTGAACAGTTATAAGTGGATAGTTTTTTAACCGTTATAAGTGGGCAGTTTTTGGAGTGAGAGTAAAGGACATACATGCCCTCTTTATGCCTATTGTATGATGCTTAGATAAGGGGTAGAAAATGTCCAATGAAAATTCCAAAAAAAAGGGACATTCACTCTTTTATAGGTAGTATAGATATAAATATGTTTATATTGCATTTTTTAATCCCCATAATACCCTTGTAATAACTATTCGGACAAGAAAAATATTGTTCATCTTCCCCGACCTCATGATACACGAAAAGTAGTGGCAGTAATCTCCTTTACCTCAGATTCCTTCACATTTCTCTCTTCTTCCCCTTAACAGCGTTGGGAACTCCTACAAAGACTTTAATCTACGGTAACCTCAACCCCATTTGTGCAAGATTACTAGAGAGGTAACACCCATCTTCTAGACTTTCTTTTCACATTTTCGGCGCTGCAACTCATTTGACTTCATCGAATCTCGACTTGTTTGTTTGTTTGTTCGGTTTGTCATCGAAACAATGAAAGTTGGGATTTTTACTCAGTTTTTTGGAACAACTTTGGGAAGATTCACTCGAGCTTCCATCAAATAAACTCCAAGGAGAGATAATAGATTGGAAGATTAGTCGCATAGATGGGGAGTGGAAGGCACAAGTGGTTCTCCTTCAATCGGTCTTCTTCGAGTGCCTTGAAGCCCGAAGCGAAGCAACACCCTAAGGAATTTGTGTGTCCAATTTCTGGGTCTTTAATCACGGATCCTATAATTGTTGCTTTCGGTCAGACACTCGAGCGGAGCTGCGTTCAAGCTTGTAAGAAGTTGGGTTTATACCGATCCTCTTCGACGGCTCCAAGCCCGATTTCTCTATGGTAATTCCCAACATCACCTACAAATCGACTATTCTTAACTGGTGCGATAATTTTGGCATTGAACGACCTAAATCCATGGAGTATGCCTCTACAAAGAAGCTTGTTCATGCATTAATGATGTTCTAGGAAGAAAAATCACAGGGCGAGCACAATAATAAAGAGGAGGAAGATGAAAAGGATGCCAAGCTAGGAACTTCTAAAAAGGAGCTGTTGGAAGGGGTTGCAGAGAAACCTCCCGTTAAGTATAGTCACACAGAGGCCGAGGTAAATCGATGGCCGACTCACTTCTATACTAGCACGGAGGAATCAGTGGCAATTACGATTCCCAGTACACCTCTACCTCTTTCCACTCGACCCTCTTGTTACTCTTCTTCGTCCTCATCTGAGATTACCGCAGATGATGAAAATCTAAACCCCGATTCGTCTGAAGAGGACGAGTTCATTTTTAAGCTCAAGAGCTCTTAGGTATTCAAGTAGGAGGAAGTCGTGATCTCTTTGAGGAAGGTAACGAGAACCCAAGAAGAAATTAGGGCTACCCTCTATACGCCTCGATTGTTGCTAGCCCTGCGACCTCTCCTGGTATCACAATATTCTACTATTCAGATAAATGTGGTGGTAGCATTGGTGAATCTATCCTTGGAGAAGGTCAACAAGGTGAAGATTTTAAGGACAAGGGCTGTACCACCATTGATTGATGTACTGAAAGGTGGATTCGCTGAGGTGTAGGAACACACGGCCGGTGCCCTCTTCAGCCTGGTGCTTGACGATGACAACAAACCAGCGATAGGGGTGTTAGGGGCGTTGCCGCCGCTTCTACACCTGCTCCAGTCTGAGAGCGAGCGGGCTCGGCACAACTCAGCGCTAGCTTTGTATCACCTCTCACTCGTTCAGAGCAATCACACCAAACTCGTGAAAATGGGTTCAATCCCGACGCCGTTAAGGGGAAGGGGAAGAAGAGAGATCGGGGGGGGGGGGAGAGAGAGAGAGAGAGAAAGAGAGAGAGAGAGAGGAGAGGGAGAAAGAGAAAGAGATAAATGTGAAGGAAATTGAGGTAGAAGGAATTATCGTCGTTGTTGTTGGTGTATTGTGAGGTTGGGGAAGATGAACAATGTTTTTCTCATCCAAATAGTTATTACAAGGATTGTATGGGGATTAAAAGATATTGCAATGGTCTTTTTGGATGGAGGGCTAATAGAAGGGGGTCTTTGTCTCACGGGGGGGTCTTTGTCGCAAAACAAAGTACATGGGATCTTTGTAATTTATCCTAATATATATGATGAAAATAATTGGAAAAAAATACATATTTTTATTTTTCTTTATATAAACTTTTATGATTTTATTAAAATTTTCATAATTCAAAATCGGATTAGATCAAATTCAGATATCTGACATCCTTAATGGATTCGTATTCGAATCACCATTTTTGAGGATCGGATCGGAACTTAGATATCTATTATCGGATTGGATTCGGATATACCTCAATTCAAATCCGATCTAATCCGTTTGCATCCCTACTGAAAAGTTCCCATCCAAGAAATTCAGCTTAGGGTCTGTTTTGGTTACGGCTGAAGTTGTTCTATTGAATTGAACAATTTATTACTTTATCTTATAGTGTATAAAATGATTAAATACTAAAATATTTAAGGGTATATAAATCTATACACCCTCACCTTTAGCTTCAGCCATTAAGGCCCTGTTTGACATCAATTCTGGAAAATTCTGATTCTTAGAAAAGAATGTTGTGTGGCCAATTCTCACTAAAATACAAAGTAATAAGCTTTTCAGTACCGGTCGGGATTAGGTCCTTGCTTGAGTCTAAAAACCTACTTTGAGAAGGTTTTTGAATAACTACTTGTTTTCTTTAGTACTTTTCATCAATGTTGTGGAGCTTAATCTAAACATATGGGGAATGTTTAGTATGGCTTCCATTTATTTGAAAATGTTTGTACTTGATTTATATTCAAAACTGAGAAAAAGTAATTGATAAATGTTTTCTTAGTAGTATTTGATAGTTAGGTGCCACATATGCCGAACAGTAAATAAATACTTTAGTGTTGGGAGAAATAGTAACATGAAGTTTTCCTCAACAGTTAACTCACACATAAACCGAGACAAACATTTAATAAATAAACAGTCTTACTAAATAGCGTTTTGGGACAAACACCTAGATGACGATGAACTGATACCATTTTTCAAATAAACATAAGCCATACCAAACACCATCATGCTGATAAGGGGATTATTTTTCCAGGAACAAGGAGAGAGAGGGGTTAAAAGTGGAATAGAAAATAAAAGCCAATAAAGCACAGTTCTACCCGGCCCAAAGTCAAAAGTCCCCCAATCTAGATGGGCTTAGGTGACCTCAGAGCTTAGAATAAGTAGCCCAGCCCAGCCCAGCCTGGTTACACCGCTTCTTGTGCCTTTAGTTTACACCATCAGATAGCATGACCAAGGCAAGTACATGATCAGACATCAGAGGAAGACGAGACGATTGGAATCACCCTTGGCCCTTGCTTCGCGGCCCATCACGACCTTTTATTGGGCCTAAGAATCAGAATTCAACCTAGCGCGACAGCTCGAACCCATGCTCGTCAGCCCACACATTGACATTTGGATTGAAATCTATGTTCATTGGATCGAAGGAACTGTGAGAAAACAAGATTCAAGTGCAATTGTGCAAACACAGATACAGTCAATCCATTCTTGTCCGTAATTTACAGACTTCTAATATTTTGAGCGGAATTGGAACATTAAAGCGCCGAAGGATGTCGAGGTTTCGAGCACTCTGGCAAGCTTCTGTTAATGCTACCAAGAAAGGTACTTCTAATATCTCTTTCTACTTTCTTGTAGGTTTCTCCTGCGGATCATTTTGCTGATTTTCTGAACTGGGTACTCTACTACGTTTCGATTCGCTTTTATTAAAAAAGGTTCTCTTTATCTCTCCCCTCCCCCCCTCCGACCTTCATTTTTGCATAAAAAATGTAGTAACTTTTTATCGGTGTTCACATAGTTGTGAAACCATTTGACCTCACAACTTTAATTTCGTCATGAGTAGATTGTTTTCTGAAGTGGTGATAACTGGAATTTATTTATTTATCTACATACATCAGGGTGATGACTTTCTCTTTACCATGGCATCCTAAATTTTATTTGTATAATTGTTGAAGTAATATATTTTCAGCTCATTTTTCTCATGATTAGCTTCCTCGTGAGCTGGCTATTAATTACTAGTCAGAGACGAATTTGATAGCATTACAAGTTCATCTTGACAGTCATATATTTATTCTGCAGCACTGGATTGGGCTGTGGGGCATTCCGATGGTTTTTACCTGTGTCAATATAAGTACAAAAGTAAAGAGAGACGAACGTTTGTGTGGATTGGTGATACCACTTCATGGGTGTCTCAAAACAGCCGATACTTGAATTCACAAAGCTGTTACTTGGACCTCAAATCAGCCGAAAATTGTAGTTTCGAGTCTGCAACCTACTTATGGCCCCAGTTTTTCACATCAAAACATGCTTAAATGCTTGGGTTTTAGTACTGCCACCAAGTTCAATCAGTTATCTGTCTAACAAGATCAATATGATTCAATTTGGAAGTGATTTCATAAGAGTTAGGCCTAACAAAAGCATATGGATTTTTGGCCAAAATCATTATTCACGTAGCCATCATAAGTATCTAAGTTGCTCGATTAGTTTCTCATTTCATTTTCAAATCCTTGCACCATTATTTGTGAGCATTAAGTTACTAGCTTACTTTAGAGAGCAATATATCATAGCCAAAGGAAGCAGTCGAAACTCTAGCTCAACCAGCCTTCTTTATAAAGAGTCTTTAAAATCTATGTAATTCACATGATCGGATCTACTGTTGACCTGAAGAAGTTTCTGTAAGGCTTCTCTTTTCTGTATGATATGAAATCATACTCAAATTTTGAAGCTTTGACAGTGAAGGTTCACTATTCCTCATTCTAACATTGGCAAAACTATAATTCTTGCTAAAAAAGGAGAGGCAAAACATGTTGTCCTGATCCAAAATACTCCTCAAATGACATTCGTTATCATTATAAGATTAACCTTGAAAGGGGTATTAGCTTGTAATAATCAAAGTAAGGAGGGTAAGATTCATAAATCCCTACTTTAACTGTATCTTGATATGAAAAATCCCCATCATGGTGAAACATCTAGGAAAGAATGCTAGTTTTCAATTGTTGTAATTGTATGGCATCTCACAGAAGGCGAATGAAATAAAATTCCAAAGCAACCAATCCCAAAATTCTTTCAAAACCACCGGTAAACACTTTACAAACTTAGTGTTTATTAATATGGTCCTGAATTGAGCCAGAAACCCTTAAATATGTGGACAGAGTTGAATCTTCAAATTTCAGAAATGATGAGCAAGAGATGTGTTGTTCAGTTCCAACAATATATCCTTTTATAATATTTTGGTGCATAGCAAATTTTGACTCTTCACTTTTATCATTACATAATGAATGAAACACTGAGCATAAACCTGTAACTCTTCATCTAACTATATGTAAATAATTTAATCATCATCGTCTAAGCCTTATCTCAACTATATGGGGTTGGTTACATGAATCCTGTTTTGCAATTCAATTCTGTTTAAATGAGCACAGACAATTTAGAATCCTTGACCAGTAAGAGTTCAGCAAAAGTTTTAAATGCTAGCTACCAACCTGATACAACCCTCCTTTATCTGGGCTTGGAACCAGCAGCATAAGACAAGCTCACACTGGCAGAGTTATGTAAAATACAATATTGAACCCAAAAGACGAGCACTGTAGACTTAAAGTGGGTTTACATCCCATTACCATCAGCATTCACTACTCTATGTTAATTAGCAAATAGTTTCTCTTTGTTGTTTTTCCTTGTTCATTTGTCTTTATGAGAAAATACTCGTATAGTTGGGATAAGGATTGGATGGTGATGATTATTTGTCTTTATGGGAAAATGAATTACCATTGAACCGTTGAACAATATAAACTTAAATTCTCTGGATGACACCTTTTCTTTTGTCTGAATAGTTGAGGCAGGGGAATAGAATCAAATTCTTCCTGCATTCAAATTTATCAATGCTATATGATTATGATGGATTTTCTTTTAATTTGTCAAATCATAGCTCTCACATGGAATGTTGAAGATCTAGTACCCCCAAGCGAAAAGTATATTTTTAATTTCAATTCCAAGGAGGAACTGAAGAGATGGCATTTGTACTCAGATTCTGAATATGGAGGTTTGCATTTTTCCACTAACTCTCTTTAAGTACTTCAGAATATGTTAATTATATGCAACTGACCTGCCTGTAATTTAGTATATATAAGAAAGCTTTATAAATACTGCATTGACATGTTATGTGAGGTTGATCTGTGTCAAAGGCATCTCAGTGGATACTAGTCTGAAATGAAAGTTTATATATCTACATAATGTTGCATGGGTACTTCTAAAAGCATCCCATGGCTGTAATGGACACTTTGTTTTTTTTTTTTTTTCTAGTTTGAATTTCATGTACAGCACTTTGTCCATGCCATGCCTTTGCTGTGTCTGCATAACATATTGTGCAGGCTTTCAAGCGCTACCCCTTCATATATAAAAAGTTAAGTTGGTAGTATGACAACTTTTCAAACTTTTTTGGAAGAACTTCAACAGTTTTTACAATTCCTTTTAGTTTTGTAGAGTTGTAGAGCAATGATATGTTTATTTATGTTGCTGTTAGCATGCTAGTAGTGTTAGTAAGTTAGTTATTTCAGTTATTTTTCAGCTGCTGTTTATTTATGTTAACAATAGGGGCAATATTGTAAGTTTACTATGTTATAAACTATTAATATAAATATATGAGTGGGGCGGCAATGTGTTATTGACCCACACTCTTTTCTGAATTCTCCTCTCTTTGATCTCTCTCTCTCTCTTCTATTCTCTGAAATTTTCTAATTGAATTCTCATCTAGAGTAGGACTGATTACAGTCTCTACAAGACAAGTTGGTATTAGAGCCAACCTAGGGTTTCTCATGTGAGTCTAATCAGGCCGACTGCATGAGAACTTCCTAGGGTTGGAAGTTTTAGCAAGATTGGTTCATCGGCTGGTTCTTGGAGATTGCTGGTAGAGTAAACAAATTTTCAGTTTGGTTCAGAAAAATTATCTTGTTTCAAAAATCAACAAAAATATGCTTTCAGAAAACACATTTTCACTTCTATAAGGGACTCACACGTGCACACACACACACAAACACATCCAAAATGTACTATACAATATACATCTTCATGCAAGTGCTAGTTTTAATTTTCTATGGATCATACTAACCTACATAAATGGATTTGGGTCCAAAGCTGTGTTGCATGGACTCTCCAAATGAATGAAGCATTTATCTAAGGCACACGTCTGATTCTGTCACTTAATGGATTCTTGAGGGTCACTTCTATGTAATATTGTCCTTTGTTTCATTTCTTATTTGACATAGATGAACAGCTAACACATGCAATGAGTATTATTTTTCCCATAAAATGTTATTAAGTAACAAGTCGACTTTCAACTTACTAATAAAAAGTAACTGTAGAGAGACTGGGCTGAATGGGCCCTAGTATCTATTCTTTTATTTTTTGTAGTGTGTTATTTATTTGCTTGTTAATGGGCCTGTTACTTATTTTTATAAGCTTACTTTAAGTTTTTGCTTAGCTGGCCGCCCACTTAAGGGCATACTTGTAATTGACTTAATGAAAGAAGATTAACAAAAGGATTAGAGAGGGGAGTGAGGAGATTATCGAACCCTTCTTCTTCTTCCTCTTCTTTTCTCCATCTTCTTCCTTTGTACTGCTGTCTTCTACTTTTCTCTCTAATTTCAATCAAGTTTATATCAGTTTTAGAGGACTGATTTACTTCTGTAACAAAGATTGACTTCTAAAACTTTTCAATATGTATAAAATGCCATAATTAAAAAATGGACTGTTTTAATAGTTTATACTTGCTATCAGTGCAGTGATGAAGGAGAAAAGAAGAGAGGAAGAAAGAGGAGAGAGAGCAGAAGAGAGGAGAAAGATTTGAGAGTCAAAAGCATGCTGGTGGCACTAGCTATTTGTTATATATACTAGGGCGGCAGCAACTAAAAAAATAAAAAGGTAAAAGTACAATAGTACCCCTCCAGTACTATATTTAGGAAAATAACAACTTTCAACACTCCCCCTCAAGTTGGGACATAGATGTCAATCATGCCCAACTTGTCACATAAATCATGATGTCGTGAGTGGTGTAGCCCTTTTGTAAAGATGTCTGCAAATTTATCCTTAGAGCTGACATAAGGAGTGCACACTTCCCCTGTGACAACCTTCTCTCTAATAAAGTGTTTGTCGACTTTGATGTGTTTAGTTCTATCATGTAGCACTGGATTAGCAACAATGTTTATGGCTGTTTTGTTATCACAGAATAGGGTCATAGGTCAGCCACTCCATGAGCCATTGCCCGATTTTAAGCTTCAGCACTAGATCTAGCTACCACATTCTACTTTTTGCTTCTCCAGGTAACTAGATTTCCTCCTATGAAGGTATAGTAGCCACTAGTTGACTTTCTGTCATTCAGGGATCCTGCCCAATCTGCATCAGTGTACACTTCAACTTTCAAATGTCCATGCTTTTGAAACAACAAGCCAGCACCTGGGAACTTCTTAAGATATCTGAGAACTCTTTCTGCTGCTTCAAGGTGAGTGGTCTTGGGAGCATGCATGAACTGGTTAAGAACACCGATTGCATAAGCAATGTTAGGGTGGGTCCTAGAAAGATATAACAATCTTCCTATAAGTCTCTGAAATTATTTCACATCCTTGATAGGTTCACCTTGACAGTCACCTAATTTATGGTTAGGATCAATAGGGGAATCAACTGGCTTCACTCCCAATTTTCTTGTATCTTGGAGTAAATCTAGGACATACTTCCTTTGGGAAATGAAGATACCCTTTTGTGAGTGGGCAACTTCAATTCCAAGGAAGTATCTTAGGGGACCTAGATCCTTTACTTCAAACTGTGTAGCAAGAAAAATCTTCAACTTTTGATTTCATCCTTCCAATCGCCAGTGATAAATATATCATCAACATATACTATCATAGCAGCAATTTTTCCTTCCCCTCTTTTCACAAATAATGTGTGATCAGATTGACATTGCTTGTATCGTTTCTTCTGAACCGCTGTATGGAACCTGCTGAACCAGGCTCTTGGTGATTGTTTCAGCCCATATAATGATTTCTTCAACCTGCACACTTTCTGTTCATTACCTTGAACCCCAAAACCAGGGGATTGTACCATGTAAACTTCCTCTTCAAGGTAATCATTCAGGAATGCATTCTTGATATCAAGCTGATGTAGATCCCAGTCAAGATTAGCAACAATGGAGAAAAGGACTCTAATGGAGTTCATCTTGGCAACGGGTGCAAAAGTATCTGCATAATCAACTCCATACACTTGTGTAAACCCTTTTGCCACTAAACAAGCTTTATACCGCTCCATCGTGCCATCAACCCTATATTTGACTGTGAACACCCGTTTACATCCAATTGGATCATTTCCCTTAGGAAGATCTACTAGTTCCCCTGTGCCATTTTTATGTAAAGCATTAACTTTCCTTCATAGCATTTGTCCATTCAGGTACTGAAAGAGCTTCTGCCACATTCTTAGGGATAGGAACACTGTCAATGTAAGTGAGAAAGGCCCGAAAAGAGGGTGAAATGTTTTCATAGGAAAGAAAGTGTGAAATGGGGTGTTTAGTGGTGCAAGATCTAATACCTTTCCTGTGAGCAATAGGAAGGTCAAGGTCATTAGCATCAGAGGTATCAATAGCAATAGGGTCAAGGACATCGATAGGAACCAAGATACCTGAGTGAGTATGATCTGCCCCTGGAGAGTTTGATGACATTGGAGGTACAACTTCTAGGTTTTCCACAGCTCTTGAACTTGGTTGGCCTTTATGACAACGATAGAAGACACGAAAAGGAGGAGGGTCAAGAATAGGAGGGAGCTGAACCAGTTTCTCCTCATTCCTACACTCCCCCTAAGGAGAGACAGGGAAAAAAAGCTCATTCTCAAAGAAAGAGACGTCCATGGGAGCATAAAACTTATGAGAAACAAGATCAAAACAACGGTATCCCTTCTGAGTGAAAGAATACCCTAGGAAGATGCAAGGAATAGTACGAGGGTCTAATTTTCCATGAGTGGGTGACAGATTTTGGACAAAACAACGACAACCAAAACACACGAGGAGGAATGGAAAGAAGGGGAGCCTTAGGAAAAAGAAGCTGATGTGGGGCTTTGCACTCTAACCAACGAGAGGGCATACAGTTGATGAGATATGTAGCACAAAGGACAGTCTCAAGCCAAAATCATTTTGGGACATTCATATGGATTAGTAAACCCCGGGCCACTTCAAGGAGGTGTCGGTTCTTTCTTTTGGCAACACCATTTTGTTGTGGTGTTCGGGCTAGGGGTGGACACGAACCGAGCTTTTCACGAGCTATTCGAGTTCGGCTCGTGAAAAGCTCGGCTTGGCTCGACCCAGACCGAGCTTCGAGCCGAATACAAGCCTCATATATGGCTCATCTGTCAATTGAGCCGAGTACGAACATTTTAAAGTTCGGCTCGTTAGGCTTGCGAGCGTAACGAACCTCTATATATGTATATCAACATATATATTTATATTATACATATTCTATATATAAGTATATATACCCTTTTAGAAAATTTTATTGGTAGGGACACAATTATACCATGGTCCCTACACATAGTATACTTCTTCGAGACTTGAGAGGGAGATAAATATTTCATCTTCTTCGATCAAAAAAACCTAAGCAGCTAAACCCTTTTTTATCTTCCTTGACTTTTAGACTTTCGTTCTCCTCTGCAGACTGCAGCTCTGCTCTCATAGGCCACAACTCTCACCGGTCGGCGATTGGCGGTTGACGGTCTCGCTCTCACCCTCTCAGCTCTCACCTAGTTATCGAAAGTGGGAGGACTGAGGAGCCTTTCGGTCTCAGGTTCTCAGCTCTCAACTCTCAGAGTTAGAGTTTCGACACCTCTGGTTCTAGATCTCTCTCACTCTCTGCTACAATTACAAAATACACAAAAAGCTATAGAAAAACAGGTTTTTGTTCTCCTCTTAGTGCTTTCACAACCGATGTCCAACAACAAAAGTTTGCACCTTCCTTTCTTTGCTTCTTGAAACAGTTATCATCACCGACAAGAGCACTGGCAGCGACAAGT